GTACAGATGATTCTCAAATCTGTTTGATTTCACCTGAATTTGTTGCTTGCCTTATTTCCTCACAGGGTGTCTGTCAGCTGCCAGATAGAGAGGATGGAACAGCTTATCCACACCGCAGAATTGATATCAGGTACATGCAGAATTGATTTCAGGGACATGCAGATTGATAGCAGGTACATGCAGATTGATATCAGGTACATGCAGATTGATATCAGGTACATGCAGATTGATATCAGGTACATGCAGAATTGATAGCAGGTACATGCAGAATTGATATCAGGTACATGCAGATTGATAGCAGGTACATGCAGAATTGATAGCAGGTACATGCAGAATTGACAGCAGGGACATGTAGAACTGATATCAGGTACATGCAGATTGATAGCAGGTACATGCAGATTGATATCAGGGACATGGAGAATTGATAGCAGGTACCTGCAGAATTGATAGCAGGTACATGCAGAATTGATAGCAGGTACATGCAGAATTGACAGCAGGTACATGCAGAATTGATAGCAGGTACATGCAGATTGATAGCAGGTACATGCAGAATTGATAGCAGGTACATGCAGATTGATAGCAGGTACATGCAGAATTGATATCAGGCACATGCAGAATTGATAGCAGGTAAATTGATATCAGGTACATGCAGAATTGATAGCAGGTACATGCAGAATTGATAGCAGGTAAATTGATAGCAGGTACATGCAGAATTGATAGCAGGTACATGCAGAACTGATAGCAGGTACATGCAGAATTGATAGCAGGTAAATTGATAGCAGGTACAAGCAGAATTGATAGCAGGTACATGCAGAACTGATAGCAGGTACATGGAGAGTTGATAGCAGGTACATGCAGAGTTGATATCAGGTACATGCAGGTTGATAGCAGGTACATGCAGAATTGATAGCAGGTAAATTGATAACAGGTACATGCAGAATTGATAGCAGGTACATGCAGATTGATATCAGGTACATGCACATTGATATCAGGTACATGCAGATTGATATCAGGTACATGCAGAATTGACAGCAGGTACATGCAGAGTTGATATCAGGTACATGCAGATTGATAGCAGGTACATGCAGAATTGATAGCAGGTAAATTGATAGCAGGTACATGCAGAACTGATATCAGGTACATGCAGAATTGATAGCAGGTACATGCACATTGATATCAGGTACATGCACATTGATATCAGGTACATGCAGAATTGATATCAGGTACATGCAGAGTTGATATCAGGTACATGCAGAATTGATATCAGGTACATGCAGATTGATATCAGGCACATGCAGAATTGATTTCAGGTACATCAAAGTCCCCCTGGTTTAGCTGTCTGCTCCAGAGCAGGCATTTGCATCATTTTTTTCATTCCAACCTCTACTTCATGTTCACAACATGGCATTTGCTGTGTTTCTAATGCCTTTGCAGTGTGGCAGCCCCTGGACAGCTGCCAGTAATTGCAGCAGGTTATTAGCAATAATGCTGTGCTTCAAATGATGGGATTCTGATAGAATGTCAGAATTGTGTCCTGTTTTATCATCCTGCTTTGGCACTGATTCTGTGCAGGACTGCAAGCACCATAACCAGGTAGTGGCTGAAGTTCAGTAACTCCTGGGAAGTGGTAGATCTGCTGAACCTTTCTTTCATATGCAGTTCCTTTCACTTTTGCATCTGGCTTGTGGGAAAATTAAATGTACAGAGCTGCAGAATGTGGACACATGAACACAAAATAAACCTACACGTGTCTGAATGCTGAATTTTAAATGGCTTGTTACTTCTTTGTGGTATATTTGTCCTAAGTCTTTGCTTCTACTTTTTATTCTAGGCTGATCCCAAAAGATCAGTATTACTGTGGTGTGCTGTATTTCACAGGAAGTGATATATTCAACAAGAACATGAGAGCTCATGCTCTGGAGATGGGCTTCACAATCAATGAGTACACGATACGGCGCCTGGGTGTTACTGGTCAGTCTGAGCTTGCACAGAGTGCTCCTGCTGCTCTTTCTACTCCTTCTGCTCCTTCTACTCCTCCTTCTGCTCCTTCTGCTCCTTCTGCTCCTCCTTCTGCTCCTGCTGCTCTTTCTACTCCTGCTGCTCCTTCTGCTCCTCCTACTCCTGCTCCTTCTACTCCTACTCCTTCTGCTCCTGCTACTCCTTCTACTCCTCCTTCTGCTCCTCCTACTCCTGCTCCTTCTGCTCCTTCTACTCCTTCTGCTCCTTCTACTCCTCCTTCTGCTCCTTCTACTCCTCCTTCTGCTCCTCCTACTCCTGCTCCTTCTGCTCCTTCTACTCCTTCTGCTCCTTCTACTCCTCCTTCTGCTCCTTCTACTCCTCCTTCTGCTCCTTCTACTCCTTCTGCTCCTTCTGCTCCTTCTATTCCTTCTACTCCTCCTTCTGCTCCTTCTACTCCTTCTGCTCCTTCTGCTCCTTCTGCTCTTCCTACTCCTTCTGCTCCTTCTGCTCCTGCTCCTTCTACTCCTCCTTCTGCTCCTTCTACTCCTCCTTCTGCTCCTTCTACTCCTTCTACTCCTTCTGCTCCTTCTGCTCCTGCTCCTTCTACTCCTCCTTCTGCTCCTTCTACTCCTCCTTCTGCTCCTTCTACTCCTTCTGCTCCTTCTACTCCTCCTTCTGCTCCTTCTGCTCCTTCTGCTCCTTCTACTCCTCCTTCTGCTCCTTCTGCTCTTTCTGCTCCTTCTACTCCTCCTTCTGCTCCTTCTACTCCTCCTTCTGCTCCTGCTGCTCTTTCTACTCCTTCTGCTCCTTCTGCTCTTTCTACTCCTCCTTCTGCTCCTTCTACTCCTCCTTCTGCTCCTTCTGCTCCTTCTGCTCCTTCTGCTCCTGCTCCTTCTGCTCCTTCTACTCCTTCTGCTCCTTCTGCTCCTTCTACTCCTCCTGCTCCTCCTACTCCTTCTACTCCTCCTTCTACTCCTTCTTCTGCTCCTTCTACTCCTTCTGCTCCTTCTGCTCCTTCTGCTCCTCCTACTCCTCCTACTCCTCCTACTCTTCCTACTCTTCCTACTCTTCCTACTCTTCCTACTCTTCCTACTCTTCCTACTCCTTCTACTCTTCCTGCTCTCAAAGTTATGCACTTTGTGTGATCTCCTTCAATTGCTTGCAATTGTTTTTTGGAAATACTTCTGAGAAATGCAATATTTTGTGGAATTTTTCACAGTGTCCTTTTGATACTGGGCACCATTACAACAAGAAGGGGCAGCCTATTTACACAAGGTTACCTCTTTAGGCCTCCTAATCTACTTAAAGTCTTAGTGATTTAAAGATTTTTTTTTTCTTCTCTGCTGTGCACAGCACAGATTTGGTTCCCTGCTCTTTTCACAGGGTATGTCATGTCCTTCAGTTGCTTTGCTTTGGAGGAGAGGTGTCCATATATACCCACACACAATTATAAATTCATTGAACTGCATAACCACATGGCCCCAAAGTTCATTCATTACCTCATTTCCTTTGACACCAATAAGAATCAGCATGCAAACACCATGAAAATTCTGCAGAGGGTGGGGACGTTGTTCTGGGTGGGTTTTTCAGGTTGTTTTTTTTACCTACAGCAGTTTTGTCTTAATCTTTCCATGCATTTGGCATTTCTGAATGCTGCAGACTTTCCCACCTTTCACATGTGCTGTGTAATTTGCTTGCAGGAGTTGCTGGAGAGGCCCTGCCAGTGGAATGTGAAAAAGACATTTTTGATTATATCCAGTGGAAATACCGAGAGCCCAAGGACCGGAGTGAATGACAAAGTGCAGCTCTGGGTTTACAGCAACAGGGATGCTGGCATAGCTTCTAACAGGGATGTCACAGTGCACAGCCTCACTTGAATGCTGCTTGAACATTACTGATGTAGATATTACTGATGGCTAAAGCAAGTCCATGGCACTTGAGCAGAACAGAATGTGTTGTGAAGATAAATCCCGTGTGAGATTTCGTTTTTATGTAGTCACAGAAGAATTTGACCCCTAAATGTGATGTAGTCCAGTCCCCCTGCCATGAGCAGGGCCATCTTTGACTGGAGGAGATTGCTCAGAGCCCAGCCCAATCTGCATTGGATGTTTCTGGGGATGGGGCATCCAGCATCTCTCTTTGTATCTTATGTAGGTACCAGAATGAAAAAAGGCTGAGTATACCATGAAGTACTCCTGAAATTACCATTTTTACCTACTCCCTGTGTCTCCTCACACCTGTGCTGAGTGTCTTGGTGCAGTGCTGAAGCTCATGATGAGCTGCTCCTTCTAAAATCTTTGACTGTGGGCTGTATGCTAAGGTGGCCATTCTCCTGTCCATGTGAATTTTGCTCCTAGATCTGTTTAGTATCACTGATTGCAGTGCTGTGTTTCATTTGGCTTGGTCTGATTAATTGATGCCTTGCTACCACTCCTATAGATTCAATCTGCCCCTTTTTTATATGCAAACCTCTCAAATCTTATTTTACACCTCCCCTTTAAGTGTTGGGAAGGTAATGAGTATTCTGGATGAGAGACAAGGTCTCTTCAAGAATGCATTACTAGTTGGATTTGGGACAGGAATTCTGTGGTTTAACCTAAAAATTTTCAAAGTAGTAAACTCCTTCCATGAATTACACAGCATGAGCATGGAATGTGTTGCTGCTACTGCATTTGAATACTTTGTCTTATTTTCATCTGACTCAAGCCTGCAGAACAATTCCATTTTCAACTTGTTCCTATACAAGGAGAGTTGATCAATCTTAGTAATGGACATTACAGGCTGATGCTCTTATTTACCCTTTTCATTTCTTCCATTTTTCTTGGAAATGAATTAAAACTTAGGAGTTTTAATTATTTTCTGGGAACGTTCCCCAGTGCTAATGCATGTAGTAGTATGGAAGAAAACTAAAAGTTAACTTGGTGCTATGTAAAGTAATTTGATGCCTCATTGTAAAAATCTATACATAGCTGATATATTTAGTATTTTCTTCAGTTATCAATAGGAATAAACCAATTGAATATTCCATCATCAATGTGTAGTGGTGTTTGATTGTTATTTTATTCACTGTAATTTTAGAAGATCAAAAAGCAGTAACACATGTTTGCCATGTTTACAAATGTTTCCTGGGCATTGCACTGATGCATTCTCCATCATCTTCAACAGCTGCAGCAGAAGATTAATTAGCTTTGGCCTGGCCACAGAATTTGTTGGCATTGCAGTCTCTCCATAGAGCTGCCAGTCTCTCTCCATAAAGCAAAAAAAAGAAAAGGGCTTCTTCAGAGAGCTTGCTTGTTTTCTGTGAATTATATAAATATACATTCTGTCTTTGTTTTTTTTCCATTTGCATTAGGACAATATGAGACAATAGAAACAAAGAGTTATGGACAGTCTGGGGACCTAAGCCCGAAAAAGGACCCAGGTTAACAGTAAAACAATCACCTGTTGCATATTCATACACCTCATCCATGATGCATAAATTCCATTCCAACACAGAATTCTGTCTGGGCAGGGTCAGCTTCTTCCTCTGAATCCTGACAGCACCTTCAGGGCTGAGCAAGGTGGGAAGTTGTTCCTTTCTTCTGATAAGAGAGAATAAATTCTCTTTCTCTGAAAGATTCAGATGTCCCGTGGCTGCTGTCTCACTGCAAGTCCTTTCTTTAAAAAACCATCTTACATAGCATAGTTTCTATTTTAACATTGTGTTATCACCTAAAACTGTATTTAACACACTACTTGAGAAAACTAATACAGCACAACTTCCTAACATAATATAATATATATAAATTAATAAATATAATATTTAAAATATAATATTCCTTTTAATATGCATGAAAAGCCAATCATAAAATACTCATTTTTCACAGTGGATGAAGGGTTTGAGAGGACCTTTAGTGCCTGCTGGAGTCTCATACTGGCTCTGACAGGCTGAGTCCTTGCTATAAAAAAAGTGTATTACATAGCATAGTTTCTATTATAACATTGTTAATAACCTAAAACTGTATTTAACACACTTCTTGAGAAAATTAATACAACATCACTTTTTAACATAACACATATGTGTGTTATGTTAGAAAGTTATGCTGTATTATATATATATAATATATATAATATATTATATATATAATATATATAATATATTATATATATTATATTATACATATATTATGCTGTATTATATATATTATATATAATATGTATTATATTTTATATAGCCAATCATAAAATACTCATTTTTCACGGTAGGTGAAGGCTTTGAGAGGACCTTTAGTGCCCGCTGAGTCTCATCCCGGCTCTGCCAGGCACTGAACGCCTCCGCAGGTCTCCTGGGTCCCTCGGAAGCCCAGCCCGGCACCGGCTCCGGTTGCGGCACCAGCGGGGACCCCGAGCGCGCTCCCGCCGCGCCTCGGCCGCGCGCACTGGGCGGGGCGGGGCGGGGGTGGGCGGGGCCGCGCGGGGGTGGGCGGGGCCCGGGCGCGTGCGCAGCGCTCCCGCCGCGCATGCGGACGTGGGGGCGCCGGGAGCCGTACCGGAGGCAGCGCGGGCGGCAGGTAGCGCCGGGGCCGCGGCGGGGCTCAGGGCCGGGTGGGGCCGGGCCGGGCCTCGCGGCGCTGTCCGCCCGCAGCCCTGCAGCTGCTGTCCTCTGCGCCTCACCGAGGCGGAGGCGGGCGTCCCCCGAGTCACCTTGCCGCAGGCCCGAGGGGGCGCCGGCCGCTCGCTCGCTCCGGCGGCAATTCCTCGCCCGCAGGCCCACACGCTGCTGAAGGGGCGGCCCCGGGACGCGGGGCCGGCGCTCGCTCCTCTCTCTCTGAGGCCGCGCGGCCGGGGCTCTGCTGGCTGCTCCGCTCTCTCGGCCGGGAGGCACGAACTTAAGAGGCGGCTGCGAGCGAGTGCTGCCCCGGCGCCGGCATTTCGGCCGGGAGAGGAAGCGGCGCGGAGCGCGCCCGCTCCGTTACCCGTTGCGTAACGCGGGCAGAGCCGCGGCGCGGGCGGCGCTCGCGCTCCCGGGGCCGCGCAGCCGCCGCCCCTCCGGCCCCGCCGCCAAAGGTGCGTGCGGTGCCCGCGGGCGAGGCCCCGCCGCATCCCTCAGGAGACGGGAATCCGCCCTCAGGGCTGTTGTCGTTGCTCGTGCAAGGATTCATTGTTTTGTTCGGGTTTTTGGCTGGTTTTGGTTTTTTACACCTGTTCCGCAGAGCGATGCGGGTGTTCCTGTGTTTCTTTTCCCGCTTCACAGTCGTTTCGTCACCTGTTGCCATTCAATTTAATGTTAAGAGTTGTGAAACCGACGAGTCTGTTGTGCAAGTAGAGCTGCTTGGTGTTAGCAGAGAATTTCAGTATGGGCTAACCTCGAGAATCTCTTTTTTTTTATACTGTTTAAATGCTTGCATAAAATTTAACGCACACATTCAAACACATAGAACACACAAGATATGGCTCCATAGTGTAAAGAGAGTGGACAGGCTTACAATTTTCAGATGGCTCAGTAGCCTTACTAAAATGAGGTGTAAACACAAGAGATTGCCATTCCTACTGCTGGTGCATTTGTTCATACTTTTCTCTGCAACACCCAACATCAGAAATCCTAAATGTCACCTTTTTGGATGACAAAAGAGTTCTCCTTAAATGAAAGGAGCATCTTTTAAACCTTTTCTCTTCTGGCACAGGTGCACCTTTACATTTATGCAAACTTATTTTAGAAGAGGAAGAGTAATTTTCCACTGAGGAAGAGTTTGCCTTCTTTACTGTGGCTTTTCTGATGCAAAATCCCTAAATTGTGGTGACTAATAAAATGTATCATTACACTGCAATATTACATGCCCATCCTTTTGAGCTGTGTTTTCCCATGTAGTTGTAACAATATTAGGAAATGGGCCCCTATTTGCAAATTTTTGCTGCTCTGACGACTGCACAGTGCAGAAATACTCACTGATGGTGTGCAGAGATCTCTTTCACATTTTTCACAACTTTGGAAAAGCTTTCTGTGAAGTCATGAGTGCTGATAGAAGTGACACCTGTTTTCCTTTGTAATTGTTAAGCATTGATGATGTCCTTTGCCACTCGAGGCTCCCATCACAAAAGCAACATTTCCTCATTATCAGAGCAGCAATAAGGCTCCCATCACAAAAGCAATGTTTCCTCATTGTCAGAGCAGCAATAAGGCTCCCATGAGTCCTGTAAGACTGTGAGGCCAGCACATGTAGTGGGATTTAATAGCTGGGTTTCAGTGATTCCAAATAAAAGATTGGCTTTTATAAATTCCTTGAATTGCAGCTTGTTTTGGACAAGGCAGCAAGGATGCAAGGATGATTTGATGAACATTCTCCAAAGATCTGACAGTTCTGCATTGGTGGCATCCTCACAGACTGCTAATCACAGATGTTCATTAATGCTTTGGGAATAGTTTAGGTTTTCTGCTGAGGTTCTCACAGCTGCTGTGTGTTTCAGATCCAATGGCTTGCCCACCGGCATACTGTGACTTGGGAAAGTCTGCCAGGGATGTGTTCAACAAGGGATATGGTGAGTAAGACGAGGATGCTTTGATCACCTCTCAGACTTTTTCCTTGGAAATGCCTGTAAGAACCTTAACAGGCACCTCAGAGCTTCCCTGATTCCCAGCAGAGCCCTGCAGCATCCAGCCCCTTTTGATTCTGAGCTTTGCTCATGTGCTATGGTAGAACTGCAGTGGCAGAGAGTTTGAGGGGAAGATTCCAAGTTTGACCTTAATGTGCACTCCAGAGGAGCCTCTGAAAAATGCTGCCTCCTTTTCTTACCTTCTGATTTTTCTATCTAGAGTCATTAAATCAGGGATACTGATGGAGAGTGCTGTGGCAGTGACAGGTTCCTGAGGAAAAGTGACCTTTGTGCTCATCAGAATAGTCTGTTGTTATAACAAGCTGGAGTGCAGATATTTTCACAGTATTTGCATTTGCCTCTTTTCTGGAAACACTACTAGAAAGTGTTGATTTTTTATAAATCTGAGTTTGTTTGCAATAAAGATTTCATTTGTATCCCAAACCCAGATGCCACATAAAACTAAAATGCACTGTGCTCTGGTCTCTCCCACCCTGGAGTTCAGGCTTTGCTGAAAATTATCTCAAGTTCCCTGATTTAAAGGGAAGTCAGTTACTTTAAAAGTCAGTTCTCAATGTGTTCAACAACTGTTTAAACATGAGAGTTGTTTCAGCTCAGTGTACCTATGGCATTCTTTGGGTGTGTTGGAAATGAGCCTTGTTTGTGTTTGCTGAAAATTAACTCAAGTTCCCTGATTTAAAGTCAGTTCCTTCAGGCTTTTCTACTTAGTGCAAGGGCCAGATATTTCCCTAGATTGAGAGCAGACAGAAGAGGAAGAAAGCAGTAGTACTTATGTATATGGCACTGATTGAAATAAGTTGAAACATTTTTTTGGAGTAGAGGAGAAGTAAAATTTCCTGGTCTGAAATCCGACATTAAATGTAAACTAAGTAAGTCAGAAGAGGAAGAAAGCAGTAGTACTTATCTATATGGCACTGATTGAAATAAGTTGAAACATTTTTTTGGAGTAGAGGAGAAGAAAAATTTCCTGGCCTGAAATCCAAAATAAAATGTGAACTAAGTAAGTCAGAAGAGGAGGTTACCTGTATTGGTGGGTCCCAGCCTGCAGAAGGTGGAGGTGCTGGATGGTTGCTGTTGTAACTATAAATTAGTGTCTTTATAAATTAGTATAAAAAAGTGTCTGTTGTAACTATAAATTAGTGTCTTTATAAATTAGTATAAAAAAGTGTCTGTTGTAACTATAAATTAGTGTCTTTATAAATTAGTATAAAAAAGTGTCTGTTGTAACTATAAATGATGACACAACTCACTTTGAGTTGTCAGAATTCCTTCAATCATTCTTCTCACAATCCTCGTAACCCTCAATGTGTTCCACAACTGTTTAAACATGAGAATTGTTTCAGCTCAGTGTACCTATGGCATTCTTTGGGTGTGTTGGAAATGAGCCTTGTTTGTGTCTTTCAATGAACCAGGTGCTGTGTGCTGTTTTATTTTCAGGATTTGGAATGGTCAAGTTGGAGTTGAAGACCAAGTCCTCCAGTGGGGTGGTAAGTGCTGGGGACTGTAAACATCACCAGCTTGGCAATGGAAGGACAAATTCCTGAACTGGTAACAAGGGTTAGAGCTTGCTAGCAGGGGTTGCTTCTCTCTTTCATTTCTCATTTTAAAACTCCTAGCTGACAGATATTTCTACAATAGTATGAAGTTGGTGTAGCAGTGCTTTTTGCCCTGAGACATGCAAGGATTTTCACCCACCTTGTTGTTACTTTGCTGCCTGTTCCACTGACACATCCCAAGCAGGAGTTTCCTCACCTTACATAGCTCTCATTTCTACTTAACTGAGTTTCCCTGCAGTTATTAGTTTGCATAGGAATTTTAGTCCAGAGGGACTTGTATGCAAAAGATCAAGGGACAAGTAAGCAGCAGAGTTTAACTTAACTGTGCTTTCACTCATTTCCACTGTGCTTAAAATTCAAGACTTAATTAAAACTGAAAACAGTCCTGCAGTATCCTGTATGTAGAATTTGAGAGCTTAAGTAAACTTTAGCATTCCAAGCAACAAGAACATCCTGTGATCCCATTTTAATGATGGACAAGTGGAGCTCCCTCCCAGTTTCCCAGGAGAGCTGGCAGAACTGGGAATGGGGGTGATAATTTTGATCTTTACCCACAGGCATGCATTATCCACTAGATAATATTTTTCTTACACTGACTCAGAGTCCTGCATGTCTCACCTGCAGCTCAGTGCTGTTCTGATTGGTGAGATGAGCTGTTTCTCAGCCCACCTTGTAACCAGATTTGCCTGAGCTCCCTCCTTCTCTTGCATTCTGACTGTGCAAATGGTGCAAGTCCTTCCTTCTGTATGGCTGCACTCTGTCTCAGCTGAGGTTTTGATGATTTCTTGCACTGTGCACCAGGAAGGTGTGGGCCCATGAAATGATGTGGTCTCCATGCCATGGCTGTTCCTGCTCTTGACAGGCAGTTGTCCTGGCTG